AGCAAGCGCGCCGCATGCACTGCTGCGGGAACATACATGGTCAACATTCTTGATAATGAAAATTGTGCCTACTTTCCACAGCAAGATAAATCGTACACCATCATCGTAGAAAAATTATAACTGGTACCCAAGAGAGAGAGAGAAAAAAATATGATGGACAGAATATCTAATGATGTAAACTCCCGCAGCGGTTCAGATGATCTGCGCAGGACAAAATGACCACGAAAACACAGTCAGTATATTAGCATACATGTTGTGATAGATACTACACAGCATTATAATTAATAACTACACCCCAGGGAATAAGTCTGCACTGTCACTAGCTGTTGCCGAACACCGGATTATCTGCTATGTTTAAAAAATGTAAAATTATATCAAAGGAGAAAGGGATTACACCAATGCCATAATCTAAGAACACGAATTTTAGGAAAATTCAACAAAGGCGAGAAGCAAAGCGGTTTTAAGGAGCAATTTCCTGGACCAAAATTTGATTAGAAATAAATTATTTCATTAATCTTGGGACAATACTTACTAAATTCTTATGTATCTTGGCAGCATAACAGTGCATCCGGTCTGTCGATACAACATAACAGTACACCCTGCGTGTTGGTATAACATAACAGTATACCTGGTGTTAATAAATTCAAAGGTAAAGAGAGGTGTATCAGAAACATCTCTCAGTTCTTGGCTTTTAAACGTGCAGGTATGAAGTTCTCGGCCAGCTGGCGAAGACCAGGTACTCGTTTCCAGCTGAGTCGACTGAGCCAAGGTCGGCCGTTCCTCGCCCAAAAAGAACGCCGTGGCGGCATTTTTGAGATCGAATCACCAAGCTCGACATAACCTGACCATCACAGACCATTAACAATGCACCTGGAGTGCTGGTAACATAACAGTACACTTGTTGGGTAAACATAGCGGTACACCTAGTGTGTCGGTATAACACTTGTACTCCATCCAATTTCAGGAGAGGAAAAAACTGGCAACTCACTCAGGACACTGGCGTTGAAGGTTGCAAATTTTAAGTTAAAAAATCATACTGTTGATAAGTTTTAACTATACAAGACATTTGTAAAAAAGATAATGTGTCAGCTGACTGGAATCAAATAAGAAACTTGGCAAATCGGAGTATCTTCAGCGAGTTGCCAGCTTTTTTCTTTCTCGAGACTGGACGCCGTAAAGTGTGAGGATCCAGCCTATCAGCGAGAGGAATGTGCCTGAGTTAGATATGAGCAGGCAGAGTGTATTGATGTAACGAAGCAGCAGATCTATGTCTGTAATGTGGTTGTGACGTAACAGTATACATGAGGCTTACAAAACATAATGCATAAGGCAGGTGATGCGTTTTTAATTCAAAAAGTGAAAGAAAAAAGGTGGACTGAGACTAACTGATCACTAACACAGACAACAAAATTTTGGTGTTATAGTATCACATGAATATATTTTTTTTTACCCTAATATGACCTAACTTCGTAACGCACTCAAAGCAAAGAAAATTATTTGTGTTTCCAGTGTAAGACGTGACTGTCCATTCTGCTGGGATTACGTAATATGTAACTAGCTGAATACATAAAGGATTTAACTAACGTGTTCCATATATGCGACAATATGATTATATAAAACATGTCTAAATTATAAAGAACTAGAAAGCTTGTTTAGTGTATTCAACGAGTTTGCAAGTTGAATGACCTGGAATTTTGATAACGACACAACAGTATACCGATATTGCAATAACAATATATAGTACGTATTTTAGGCCACACAGAAACATGTAATATTTCTTTAATGATGCGGCAATAATCAAACCAAACTGTAACCCAACAGTGTGACTGTTACGCCACAAACGCACATCAGTGGAACTATACATTTATACCTGTGTAACTGGTAACTTAATGTAGGAATGTAGGTGGATATGACATAACTACGTGAAAGGAACATGTGATTAAAACAGTGTAACGGACATTTTAGCTTAGGGTGTGTAATTACAACAGTGACTTGTGTATCGATATGCAAGCTGTAACTCCAGAGTAACTGGTATGTTAATTACTTCACAAGGTGTAGCTGATTTGCTGCTGCCTACATGACAGTGATAAGCTTTTGTTTATAGTTAAATCAATATTGTCGTCTTTGGGATAACTAGTGTTGCTGGTATGTCAGTATCTACACAACAGTGTGTCTGGTATGTCAGAAGGTGCACGTCAGTATACGTGACATGTTGCATTTCATGTCAGCATACTCGACGTGCCAGCCACCGGGCTACAACACCAAGTTCTCACACAGGATGATCGTTGGTACATTGTTGAGAGTATGTGAAGAACATCATGATATATTTTTGCATTCTTTCTAAGCAAACTACGAGAACTTTTTAAAAGTCTTTGGGTGAGGAAAACCTTCAGAGCTTAAATTTTCATAATAACGCGCTGAGTGAGTGTTGTGCAGGGTACTAGTACAAGCATCTAGCAATCTCCGCTCCACGAGTCGGTGCCTCCCACTACCAAAGCGTCCTTGGCGTGGTGTCTTGTAGACTAATTTTAATGTCCTCTTGTGGATTTGAATTTCCCTCGCTCAACCACGACTTAAACTAGCATTCACGAAGCATACAATCGACTAGTGATTGGCAATGCGTAACACAGCGACAACAGTCCAGCTGACACTGACAATGATGACCAGCACGACCTTATGGCCAACATGAACAAGGATCCATGATGTAAACTCCCTGGGAGTTCCAATGTGCCGACCTCTCACGCCTTAGATTTCGACAGAAGTCTGGGGTCCAAGGGGTGAGAGGGAGAGAAGGTTCACTGTCAAGGTGGTTTGCAGTTCCTCTTTGCGTCTTGCTGTTGGATGGAACATTTTCTCACGGTCTTCTGGTAAGGTATTCTTGTTTTCCTCTTGAAGCCTTTGTTTTGCATTTGTATCTCGATTTTTCGACATTACTGGACATCTGAGTCTAATGAGCTATAGTGTACACTTTCTACCCTTTTTTGCAACTATTCGATCTAATGGTTTGTGCATCCTTGCATGGCTTCACATAGTTGGATTGTGTTGAGCAGTCACACTTTAACCTTTTTTTTAAAATTCAAATGACCTTAACTTGATAATTTTATCATTTATACTCAATGTCTTAAGGGTTTATAGTCGCTATTTCACTGGAGTATTTCATTTGAGTTTCTGCAATGTGCTGCAACTTTTGCTCTTCCTCCGTTTCCTTGTCCTAACTTCGTGACCAACACCATCGTCCATGACCGTCACTTGAGAAACTTGTTCTACCTTCTGGCTAATGGCCTCTGTTCGTGATTCGGGCCCCATCCTCCGTCCGTCCGAGGAACGCAGGGAAACACGCCAGGGCAGATCCAAGGCTGTGAGATAACGTCACGGCGGCAGCGCAGACGTCCGTCGCCGCGGGATCCACAACCTGAGGATGACGCCCTGAGGATGCCGAATTCGGGTGGCCAGCACGGAGGAAGGATGGGAGGGCCCGATCAATCTCCGCAAACCACATAATTTGAGGCAAGCTGCAATACATCGCCTTGTCGTTGTCACATAAAGGATACAGAAAACAAAAGAACCGGGCTTGATCATGACTGTGAGAAGTGTATGTCCGCTTTAACATACTTGACCAGGAATTTTAAGATGGCAGACCTGCTACACGTGGGGAAGAAGTGTAGCAGGTATCACCGTTTCCTGCGTCTCTTGCTCTTTGTTGATTTAACATACAAAAGGGCGTAGCTTTAAACTATTACATCTCACTGAGAATAGAAAAACAAATCTGTTTATCAAAAATATAACAGTTTGAATATTACATAATTCATATCACATCAGAATAATGAAAATTAAACAAAGAAAAGCAATGATAACTAAATGCCTGCAAGTGCCCCATCGACAACGGCAGAATAATTTAGTGTAGAATATGGATGAGGTGTGGAGAGCCGTGAGCTCCGGTGGGGCACTCCATGTTGCAAACAAAGAGATGTACAAATCTGAAGGAGTTTCACAGCACTGTCTCTTAAAAGTTAGTGTCTGCAGTTACAAGCCGTTGTTGTATGGTCGAGAGGGCAGAGTGCCGTGTGATGGCCGAGCGGTGTAGCGGTGGACAATACACTGAGAGCGAGGCCCTCAGGGGCCTGCACTGACCTACCATCACCTACTACAAACAAGGGGCGGCGTGCCGCCCTGGAGGGAAACAGAGTCGCTCGTTGATTGGCTGCCATAGTGGCACCATGCCCACTCGCGCCAGCACAGTCAAGCCTGGAGTAGTATTACGAGAGAAAATTCTATCTTATTTTCCAATTGTTCACAGAAAAAAAGATTCTTCGCCGGAATTCAGCCATTATTCTTACATTAGGAAGTGGAACAGAGTTGAGATAAAAAATGAAACATTTGAAACAATTATAACATAAGGAGGAGGCTTTTGGTGGCAGGATGCCTGACACCCGACACAGAATCGACAGCCAGCTGTTGCAGAGCTTTAGTATTGCGTCCTGTAAGGGAGACAGGTAGCGGTTGGTAGCAGCGGTGAGCGGGCACGGCGGGCGGGGGGAGGCGGGGCCACAGGCGTCACCAGGGGGGAAGAGGACGCGCCAGACCCGGACCCTTGGCACTCTTGGGTGCAACTACCCCACCGCAGAAACGGCGCCGCATTGTCCATTTCATCCTTGGGTTTTCATGTAGTTACTTATGCAAATAGCTTTTCTGTAATTCAGTTTCAGGCTGATGGACACTTTATGTAATTATAATTGTCTCTGGGTAATTATGCACGGCATAACCTTACACTAATATTTTCGTAGGTTCAAATACAATTATCTTGCAGATAGCAGCATATCTACAAAAAATTGCACAATAAACGATCCATGCCAATCATACTACATATTAAGGCAATCGAGAATCAGACAACCCAGTCTCAAATGGTAAACAACGTGGTAACAAGAGTAGCAAAGACGCAAGAACAGGGCGTGGCTCCTTCAAGGACAAAGATATGAGCTGAATAACATTTCTTGAAATCAGCAGGGAGGAAGAAAATCATATGGTGAAGACAAGTGGGCGGTTAGGAAGGAGAGGAAAGCGGAAACTGAGGGTTTGTAATCAATTAATATAAGATATGGAAACTGAAACCTGCAAATAATTATTACTTTTTTTTTTACCACTAAGTACTACCAGTCCTTCATCTGTTTTTAGAAATGCTAAATATTTATATGATATAAACCAATGGTAGATCTACTCAACAGATCGTCGGGAAGGAGCTCATTGAGAAGAATGATGAAAGAGGAGGAAAGGGATGGTATCAGAGTACAAAAGAGCGAGTGGATGAAGAGAGCGCATTGGGTGAAGCATTTCGCCGACGCCTCCACTTGGGGAAGAGGGAGACAGAAAGCACCAACATCACCAATGCAACTCCCTCCTCGAATGCCCTATCGATAATGGCCAATATATTTCTGATGCCTCATTCTTTTCTGCTTAGAGGACTTAATGAATCTATACAATGAAAAAGAAAATCTAGAATGATTTGACTGGTAGGATTGCAATATCAAACTATTCTTATTAATGTGTCTTCTGTTTTGATAAAGCCATCAATGGTTCCTGATGTCTGGGGAAGAATGACGAAGGTCCATTGTGACTCTTGGGAATATGATCACTATTCAAACAAACAGTGGAGACATAGAAGACGGCAGTTCATGTCCCAGTGATGGGGAAGTTATCACAAGGACATGTCAAACTACTTATATAGGAATGTGGAAATAGGGAGAAGAGGAAATGCAAAGAGAGAGAGCCACTGTTAGTATTAGCACTATTTTTTTTCTGAAAACTGAAGGAATGGTCGGTCCTTAAAGTGTTGGAAGCAGGTGAAATATTATCAGCCAAAAAGTTTGATAAACAGAAATGTTCACAAGGAGCCAGAAAAAGTCTTGGGGTAGAGGATGAGGGAAGGAGCTGGGTGAAAGCCAAGTGTAGGAAAGGAGGTGGTGGATAGCGCAGTGTCCATTGAAGATGTCTAACAATACAAGTTCTACCAGGCTGTGCAATTGCTAGTTATCTTCTGCACTCAAATAAAGGCATCTGTCTATTACACAGTTATGATTATGCTTTTGATATTCCCTTGGACATTCATCGAGAACTCTGTGTTGCTGGTGGATTATGCGCATGTTACGAGTCCTTTTCATGTTGAATCACTGAGCACCACTCCGCCCGCCTGCATAGGAACCTCTGTGACACAACCCCTCATGGCGCTATGCAGTCTCTCCCACTTGCTTGCTGGCTCGGTCTGATGTGCCCCCTGGCCGTCCTCGGGGATGGGATGTGGTGTTGTCGGTGCTTCATACACCGGGTGTTAACAATACTGTGAGCGTGGGCGTGAGTGGGCGGCCATGGGTGGCAGTGTCATCAGGCTTCATGTCACCTCCATACCAGCTAAGAATGACAGTCGTGAAGAGCAGGCACACCCAACCTCGCTTGAACCCAGCAGCAGTACCAAGACAGGTAACAAAGGGCCCAATAATCATTCAGAATATTAAATACAAAAATAAACATATAGTGAATCACTTAGGCCAGTAATATCTGCACAGAGGGCGTGGCACTCGAAGATCGGGAAGCTGATGAGGACAGTTGGACTGTAAACTTAAACAACAAGGCATTAGGAGTGAAGTGTTCCCGAGCAAGAGTGGTCCAACCGCCAACACCAACAAGTTAAATTGTTTGTTAGTGGCGGGTTCATACGCCGCTGATATCAAAGCCTTATGGGACGATGTAAAACCTTTTTCACTTAACAGACAACCCGTGTAGTAGTCAACAACCTTGAAATAAAGGTTTACAACTGTCCCGTGTAACAGTCAACAAGCAACTTTATCTACTCGCCTTTTTCAGTCACACATCTGTGGACCGTGACGTCAACGATGGTGATCGCGAGTGAATCACCACCTTATGGCCGTTTTTTGTTATATATCCATCACTTTCCACCAGGACGGCGGTATCTGCTTGCTTGAAGTCTTCTTGTGAACCAGTTCCTGAAAGCGACGACTGGTCCTTGAGCTGGCGGTGTTTGCGCCACGCTTGTTGTATTAGCCGAGCGCAATATTCTTCGCGTTGACGCCATAGCGTTGAGGACACTGGTTCATAACCAGGTCTCTCAGCAGGAGGTCCTACTTCACCCATATCGCCAGAGTCCTCTATTGGATTTCCTTTGCGAGCAAAGAAGTCCTTGGTTAGTGCATCGAGGACGTCCACACAGAAAACGAGGTCTCCTTTGCAAATAGGGATGTCCATCGACACAATTTTGTACTTATTTGGCTTGTGAATCTGGAGGGGAGCTTCCAGTACATCCATGAAGTCAGAGAGAGTGCCAAATTCTATAAACTGTGTGCCTTTGGGATCGAACTCTTGCCAAATCTCGTAGTACATGTCGTAATCATCCTCTGTGAGACCTTCTTCCACGTCTTCTGTTGCCTGGGAGTAATTCTCGAGGATGACAGCGATGTACATGTTGATAATGATGAGGAAGGTCATTACCAG